CATTGCTGACTTCAGGATGACGAACTTTGCTGACGTCAACTATAAGGACCTCCCAATGAGTACATTTTACTCATAGGCCATGAGTTAACTCGAGTAACGAGAAATGTACGATACTCACCCATACTCATCTCATGGGTAATTAGCCAATACTCATTGGGTCTGTGCATGTGTCGCGGTGCCGAATATTTCAGGCTCTGATACCATACGAAGATTTGTGATTAAGTAATGCCCGCGACAAAGCCCTTTATTGTAATATGTCCGGCATCGCTTTCCTTTTCGAGGCTGCGGAATTTGATTTACTACTCCTTTGAGTTACCAAGAACTATTTTCTTACCCTCAAACTCATAATACTAATTAAATTAGTATAAATTGTGCACGCACATTTATTTGATCTTACTGTAACTCAATGACTGCGTAGTCGGAGCAGTGAATATTTCTCGACAAAGTGCAATACACTGGTGCTATCATCATTCACGAGGTTGATGCAGAAATCGACTGGTAAAGCATTCCAGAAGTCCAAAAAGACCTGCTGTGAACGCCCATAATGGTATCGGTATTGCAGGTTTTACATCTTGCTTCTGCAGCTCCTAGGGCTGGCTCGCGTTTGGCAGGACGACATTAATTCTTAAACATCTTCTTTTGATAAGTCAATACCATTCTCTATTAAAAAGGCCAAACGCCTACTTAGATGCGCAAATACATGCGGCAAACTCGGCGGCATCAAATTTGCTGTGCTCAGGGTATGGCATCCTTAGTCTGTCAGTACATGGCCCTGCCCTCATCTCACGACATTACTCAGATCCAGTATGTAATTGCACCCGAAAGTGCCAAATCTCCACGACGAGAACAACAATAGAGACATCGGCAGTGTTTAAGTCGGAATTGACTGCTCATCCTTTTCTTTCGTAAACCCAACCATGTCGGACGTACTCAATGCAAAGATTTCGTTTCGCGACTTGAGCATATTGTGGTTCATCGGAAGGGCCAAAAGCATAGAAGGCGGTGGTACATTCTTTTCAAATTGCAGCAGTATCTCTATTTTGCTGAGCGAGCGTCACGCTATAGCGTAATGATGTCGTGTTAGCAGGAGTCGCCACTTCAATAGACGGCTGCAACCACAAAGCAATCCAGCGCGCTTGGAGATTTTCAGCCTCAAGGTGCCGCGCGATGAATTGCTGTCCATTGAAGAGCGCAATCCACATGTTTTCAGAAATCAAAGAGCTTGTACTACGTTCCAGGATGGAGGGGCAAGAAATTTTGGTTGTCCGCGGTTGTGTGTGACAATTCTTTTAGCAGGGCGAGGCCTGTTTCCAGTGCAGCCAATCGCCAATAACAGCCTCTGCATTTCTTTGCGCAAGGGTACAAGAGCCGACTCTTTGATTCTAATCTTGAACGTTTTGTTGTCCAATCTTGAAGGATTTGTCAATAATTATGAGAAATGACATCGTTTCCATGTTACCGAGTGCAGGATTCCAATACCAGTATTGGTGCATGATACAGGCTGTATTTGACCCTGTCAAAAGACTCCCACTGCTCCGTGTCCCAACACCATTTTTATCTTTCTATAGGAGATTAAATAGCGGTGCCATTTCTACATAATTTGCGCTATACTTGTGCAAGAAAATTGGCGAGGCCAAGCCACTTGCGCAAGTCATTTTGGCTCTTTGGAACCGGTCAGTCCACAGTGGCCTTGACCTTAGCGGAATCCGCTTGAGAGCCACGCTTTCCAATTATCACCCTGAAAAGGGAATTCTTTCCGCGCCGCAGATGCTTTTACCGATATTAGCATACAACGTTTTTATGTCCATGCACTCGAGCACGGCTCTCAAATATACGATTTAGTTTTCCTCATTTGTCCTTTGTGGACGAAGATGCCGTCGAAGTATGTCGGTGCATAAGCCTGATGGGGCCTAAGCAAATGTGTCACAGGACGATTGATTATTGCTGGTATATTTGATAGCCCTTGGGGCATCTCCAGCCATTCACAAAGCATCCCACTCGATAGTACTCACCGCTGTCAGCAAAATATCATTCGCTCTCGTGGGCAATTGTTAATAACTATCGACCATGGCGAATGCACTGTACTTTGTACAGCCAAACATATTGTTTTGGAGAACATCCTTTCTAGAAATCAGAGTTTGTGCCAAAATGGTGGCAGCTTTTAGCTTATTAAAAGCGTAAACGGTACACCACTTGCCGTTCGGCTTCCGAGCACAAAACGTAGGGGAGATTTGCTCAGGCACACCATTCCTGTCTTGTGCTCGCACGAAAAAAGGCGCTAATGACTTTACACTGCTCCCTGGGCAGGAGCCATTTGTGAGTTACGCAGTATTTGGTTTCCCGAACCAGGTCAATCTCATGACGCACTCCTCAGTTCGGAGGAAGGACCGAGGGTGTGTCTTTGGAGACGACGTCTTGAAATTCTTTACCATTGGATAGCACGGATTTGAGGAACCCCTTCAAAATCGACGTTTTACTTCGTGTGTTCAGCAATGTCGTGGTGTCCTCCAAGACAGCTTCATATAGATGCGACGACGAGTTCATATTTTCGCTCGGTCTGATGATGACCACCTCGGCTAAATTGCCTACCTTCAAATAACCACCAAATTCTTCGGAGAACATCTTGCCCAGATCAAAAAGAGCATCCACCACGGGAATAGCCTTGAGGTGATGTTGCCGTCTTCCTCTGCCGTCATACCGTTGACAAGGGTCTATAGCTGTGTGCTATGGTCTACGTAGACACACCCTAGGTAAAGGTCGGCGCCCTGCGTCTTGCAGATAACATACGGCTTCATCGTCTTCTCTCTTTTGAGATTTTACGTCTTATTGAGACCAGTGGGAACATGCACCCAGTGTGCTCTATTGGAGCCTTGATGTAGTTAACAACTTCCGACGAAGAGCAGTTCTTCGTCCACTGGATAACGTGCCACTACACGCGCAACAGACAACGATGACTCGGATCTCGTCCGACCATGCCACTCTTGGCCTGCAGTAACTGCTTCAAAACCTGAGCAGTGCTCACTGGATTACGCGCCACTTCATCTACATCACAGTGGTCTCGCCCTCGATGCCTCGGCCCTTGGCTGACCATGCCACTATTGGCATGCAGCGACTGATCTAATACTTGAGCCGCGCTCAGTGGGTTACGTGCCACTCCACGTTCAGCCCGCGAGCCATGCTCGGGACTCTT